ACAGCCGCGGTAGCAGTTGCCGTTGACTAAGACTGGAATGGGGATGGGCCTTTGGCTTATTTTAGCTGCGATCGTACGTGTGCGCTTAGTTCGGGATCGATGTACGCGAAATGGCTCATAAGCGATTTACTAAGACCCTCCTCACGTTTTTTCACGGCGTGTAGTGTAGTGGTGCGTGCGTGTGTGTGTGTGTGTGTGTGTGTGTGTGTGCGTGCGTGCGTGCGTGTAAGTGTAAGTGGGTGCGTGCGTGTGTGTGTGTGTGCGGATTGTTTGTGAACGAAAGAGTCTTAGGAGGGGTATTTCACGTGTGCATGCAGGCTTGGCTCACTTGAAAACGACGGCTTGTGCTGATGCTGGTCCATCGCGTCCGTGGAGAGGGATGCTGATGGGATGGAGGCGCAACAGGATTAGAACGAGAGCGACACGAGCGCGACACGAGCGCGTGGGATACATAACACAAAACATTCATCACGAGCAGCAACAGGCAAACTTGCGGGTGGGGTTGTACCTCTGTTTGAATGGTCTGATTCGTGTGAGGAGCCTGCACTCAAACACACACACACACACACACACACATATATATGCGGGCACGTGAGGGCGGATAAAGGCCTTGATCGTGTTGAGTCAGAGCAGCAAGCAAGCAGTAAGCAGTCAGAAAGCACCATTGCCAGAGGTGCGTACATCGTGTTGGCATGGAGAAGTTGGCGGCATGCTTCAACAAGCGCTTGCGGTGACCAAGCTTGTTCACCCCCATATCCACCTGTGCCCGTTGGCACATGGACGAGGTGCAGTGTTGTAGCAGGTGTGAACAAGTGCGTCATGCAGGGGGTTGTCCCGTGTTGTGTGAGATGACAATGTGCGTGGATCAAACTTGCAGGGCAAGCAAGGACAACACGAACACAGCCAGGGGCACACACGCATTCGAAGGGAGAGGAAAGGCAGGCTGCAGGAGTCCAAAGGCAAGGCACGCAAGCAACCGCAGCTGATCATCATCAACAAGCACACAAGCACACATACACATGCACGTCCGCAAGCACGGCCGCAGGTACAGGCACAAGAACATCAGTGTGCGTCAACTGACCAGCTTCTGTTCACTCAGGTCCATGACATGCGCTTTGTTGACGACGCTGTGCTGCTCAAAGTTGGGCGCATACACCTCCAACTTCAGTGCAGCCAGCCAACGCAGTACATCTGGATCCATGGTGCTGTCTTTGTCTTTGTCTGTGTGTGTGTCTGTGTGTGTGTATGTGTGTGTGTGTGTGTGTGTGTGTGTGTGTGTGTGTGTGTGTGTCTCCTTGTGTGTCAAAGCTGTGTTGGTTAAAGGTCTGGCTGGCAGGCTGCCTGCTGGGGTGTGACTGTGACCACCAACAACAACAACACAGCACCACAGAGAGGAAAACAAAAACAACAACCAACAAGAAGACTGTGTGAGCTGGACAGAGGATTATGCACAATGTCCACTAATTGTCCGAGAGCGCCTTGTCGAGCAATGAATTGGCCTATAATAAGGTTGACAGCCTAATTATAATTGTTTGAGTTTGTGTTGTGATGTGCTTGTGCTTTGATGTGATTCATTGGTTGGCGGAAAGCGTTGGACGTGGCGACGTGTTACTGTGATCCCCGAAGACATCCGAGTCTTGCGCAAGGCCCCCTTGTATGGGAAGAAGGACGCCGGAAGGATATGGCATGAACACATGACTGACACATTGACGACACCACTTCAACACATCTCCACGCGATTGTTGTAAGTTCATGCTGGTGGTGCTGTTGTTGGAGACTTGTGTGTGTGTGTGTGTGTGTGTGTGCTGTGTGTGCTGTGTGTGCTGTGTGTTGTGTGGGAGATTGTCTTGGCAAGAGAGAGTTGTGTGTGTTTACTTGAGTTGTGAAGCAAACAAGGATGTAGGATGAATGAACACTCCAACAGAAAGAAACAGAGCAGAAGACAAGAATTGTCGACAACGCAAAGTGGTGACGTGGCAGTGTTTGTTGAGAGTTGTGTGGTTATGTGGTGTGTTATGCAAGAGCATGTAACATCGAGCAACCACACAAGGTAAACACTGCACGTGCAACAGGTTGGAGGGAAATCACGTGAACATTCCAGAACACAAGAGAGGTGAATGTGAATTTGTGGTGTCGTGAAGAAGGGAGGTCAATGATGACTCAGCAGACAGGACTTGCCTGTCAACACTCCCCCGCATTGACCTACCTCTCTGTTGCGTTGATGTTCTGAAACGTGATGAGCATGTGGATGATGTCATGCATGTAGGAATGGCATGAGCAGATGTAGGTGAGATGTGAGTAAGGACGTGTGTTGTGGAACACGTTTAAGAAAACGATTGGTGCCTGTGGTGCGCAGCCTGTTGTGGAAGGCTGGCCCGAGTGAAGGCGTGTCCTGTGGTGCGCGGCCGCTCAGAGGTCCTGACGCGGAGTCGAAGGACGTGGCGACCGGCCCGAATGAGGACGGGCCCGTGGCTGGCAGTCTGGCAGAGGACGAAGACGC